AAGAAGGAATGAGAGTAGTGATGCGAATCTGTCGGCGCAGGAGGCTTTTTAGTGAAAAGCGATGTTGCATTCTTGTTCAGTCTGTTTCCCTTGCCTTTCTACGTTTGCTCTTATCATGATGTTTGTGTATGACCGGACCGGACGTTCTCTTCTTGCTTTATATACATACATTGGCATAGAACTTGTTGTTACTTGATTGACTGTTCGTTCATATGTGTCGGGCGAGGTAGGCAGCCAGATTGCATACATATTACTCGATAATGATGGCGCAGGTGTGCGTGCTGGCAAGGGGCTCTGTCAGGCCCATGCTAGTAGTTAGTTCAAATAGATTATGGAAATACGAATGGTGGTTATATAGCCTGATATTTGTTTTGTGCTTTTGTAATGATGGCTATTGATATCCCACCGATCGTGATGAGAGGACACGGAAGTGCCAGTAGGGAAGCGAGTGGGTGGGTGGGGTGGGAAGGAAGGCAGTCTGAAGATATGGATATGAGGGAATGAATGAAAAAAATAATTCCGATGCGGGGAATCGAACCCCGAGCTGCTGTGTGAGAGACAGCGATGTTAGCCATTACACCACATCGGAGTAGCTGTAGCAGTTTTTTGCTAAAAGGTTAGAAGTAAATGAAGAATTACACTGAAATCTCGGATCTACAGATCCACTTCCGGGACCTTTCCTTGGCGACCTCACGCCACCATACGATCTAATTGATGAGGAAAAATGGTGAAAAATAAAAATAAATAAAATTTGTATCACATGACAGCGGTTCATGAGTTTTTTTAAATCTAATTCTCATCCATATACTCCGTAGCATGGATATTCTTTGTGATTTCTATATATCATTAAATAGTAACACAGTACTCCGTACTGAGTAATTGACTGTAAGGAAAATTCAAACTTGGTCAATCAATTAAATTTTCTTTTACTCCGTACGTGTCTGAGAATTTTCATTTGCTGCTCCAAGATTAGCACGAAACGATAAATACCAAAGTATGACGCCAGATCTAATAAGGATCAACATATCTGCATCGCTCCTGAATGGATCAGCCACTGCTTTTTCCAGGTAGGTTTAGTATTTCCATTATCTTGCCAGCTCTCCTTCGTATTTGGACTCTGATATCCAATCGATCTTCACCATGATTCTTTCCTCAGTTCCTACTTTCTCATCCACCTTGATCCTGACAATATAGTATCGGCGATACACAACTGGAACCGGAGATTAATAGACTTCATTGTCGGTGAATTCGTCATGTAATAACGGCGTTGTCTTGGAATCCGGTAAGTAATTTAGTAATTCTCTTTTTGGATTTTTTTTGGTTCAAGGCTGTAACGAACTATCATCCGAACTAAAAGGTAGTTCGATCCAGTAAATCGATGGATCCATTCCACAGTTCAGCTTGGTCTCTGGTTTGTTCCTAACTCGACCCAGATTAATCAAAGCGTTTTTCTTTTTCTTCTCTGTGTTCCTCCTATGATTTTCCTTCCTTGTATTCATTACCACTGTGTACATTATCTGCATCGTCTGATTCCGAGTAAGTCGTGGGTTTGCCAAATACTCATACTATTTTGCTGATGCTAATCGCGCAGTCTCTTTGTTATCAATTACGGAGTAAACTGCGCTGATAACCACCGACGTCAGCCGGTATTAGTATTTGCCCGTCCGTTAATTGCGATTGCAACTTACGCGATCAGGAGAAGATACAGAAGGCGAAAAAAAAAAAAAAAA